ATATATATATAGATAGTTATAAATGTATATACATATATACATATATTCATATATATATTTAAGTTATAAAGAACTTGGTAAACCGAATTGGTAAATCCAATGAGGACGAAAGCCTGAGAGCTTAATGTGAAGAACAGAGCTAATATTTAAAGAAAAACAAACCACTTTAAGGTACCATTACAATAATTTATCTCACCAAAATCCTTTTTAAAGGATTTCGGATCATCAGGTAAACACTTCCAACAATGAATTGTAAAACACTTCCAACAATGAATTGTTGGAAGTGTTTACCTGATGATCCGAAATCTTTAAAAGGATTTTGGTGAAAATAAATTATTGTAATGGTAGCTTAAAGTGGTCTGTTTTTTTTTAAATATTTATATATTCATAGATAGATAGATAGATAGATAGATAGATAGATAGATAGATAGAAATATATGCATATATATATTCATATACATATATATGTCTAGATAGATATATAGACAGTTATAAATATATACATATGCATACACACACACACACATATATATATATGTGTGTATATATATATATATATATATATATATATATGGGTGTACTGGGTGTTTAACGGGAGTGAGCGATTCTGGATTTCATAGATTATTTTATTTCTTTGTTTTAGGTTGTTTCGAGTTAGAAAGTTTAGTTTGCTTCTTCATTTTTTTATTATTTTAATTTTAATTATTATTTAAATTTAAATTATTATCTAAATTTTAAAATTATTTACTCTAATTCCTTTCAGCACTCGATATTGGTTCTTGTCTCTCTCTATAAATCTGTACATCTAACACTGCACATTTTACATGCAGAAAACTTACAGAAAACATTGTAGTCTATTTTCTTACAGAAAACATTGTAGTCTAGTTTTCTTGTAGAATATATTATAATCTCGTCGATGATAATCTAGAGAGCTAGGTGATCACACTTTGGGATTATATTACCGTAAAAATTCCAAGGACACCTGCGTCATGTAGAAGGGAGTAGAATCCTGTTTGAACTCGGAAGGTGTCCTATCCGATCTTGGGCTTAATTACCACGTCTGTCACTTCAATAAAGGACTGAGCCCAAGTAGTAGAAATGCAACCCATACCCTTCGTTTCTTATGACCACCAATATCTTCAAAGTTGACACGAATTTGCTGTGCATTATTATGGTGTCTTTATAGAACTACCTGTAGTTTCTCCTGTTCCCTTATCCATTTTCAACAATCTAATTGTCACCGAATCGACGGGGTCATCAGTTCTTTTAAAGACGACGTAGGTGGGGGGGGGTCTTTTTCATTTCCCATGTCACATTTCCCGTTCCACGTGACGAATAAATAAGAATATAAATACTTGGTGCATATATTGTATTAAAGAAAATTACACCTTTATTGCCTGCTAAATTATTTTTCAAATACTTTATGTACCTCATAGATATATCGTTTGAAGATCGCGAGAGAGAAACACGGGTTACGACTCGGACCATCCTTTGATAGGAGTTAACGTTGTGAAACGTTTTCTTTACTGAGTAGGTAGGCCATTTTCTTCTTTCTTAGTTCGAGATTTTCTCTTAATTAAAGTCTTTTGACAAGTTGTTTCTTGGTTACAATCATGTAGCTGTTTACAATATCATTTATATATGAATTGGCATCAAATACAGATAAAATATAGATGGGAATCCAATAGAATGATAGCATAAAGAACAAATAGGAAACATGTTTCGTTTTTATTAAAGCTTCATCAGAGAGCGAAACATGGAAAAACACAAAAATTTAAAAAAAACGAATTTTCCTTTCTTTATTTCTATATCACACCCTCTGCTGAAGGTTTAAGAAAAATTGAAACATGTTAGATTTATAAACCCTTCCTATTTGTTCTCTGTCTTATCATTCACCTCCAACACACGCACGCACACACATACACACAGACACACACACATATATATATATATATATATATGTGTGTGTGTGTGTATATATGTATATATATATATATATATATGTGTGTGTGTGTGTGTGTGTGTGTGAAAATGTATATAAATATAAATAAATATATATATGTATAATTATTTATATATTATACACGCAGTACTTATTAAAGCGCTCAATATCAGAGATAGAAACTAACATATTTAGTTGGATAGATGTGAGTTTTGTGACCTGGGTTTCACGCTTTAGCGATCGTCAGCGCTCTGACGATCGCTAAACTCACATCTATCCAACTAAATATATATATATATATATATATATATATATATATATATATATATATATATATATGTATGTATATTGTGGGGGAGACCGGTTTTGATTACAACTCACCGATGGAAAAGGGAAAAGTAAACTGATTCCTTCCCTCCGCTAAGTTGTACTGAGACCTTGAGCAAGACTTAGCCACCCCTTAATCAATGTCAGGGATTGGATGAACAATTCAAATATTGGGACAGATAGGACCCACTAACCGCAGTCTAGGCAACCCATCTCAAAGAAGGACAATTCTGATATAAGACAAAATCTGTGAGTGCTGGCGGTCCCATTAACTGGAGTCTACTACCACTACCCACAGACTCTGGGGTAGTATGTACAATTTAGCGCTTGAGACAAGTGACTATTAGAATGCAACCTTGATTTAAAATCTACGATCACTTTAGTACCTGAAATGTGGCAAACCGTAAAGGCTTTACTGTTTTAATGAAGATTGTGTGCATTTGACTGTAGAAGTAATCAACACTATAACCAAGTAAACTGCAGGTTGTTCAGTAAACACTATCAATATTTTTTTGTGCTCTGTAACGATGAACTGATGATGATGATGGGAGCAGGTGAAGGATACCACTGAGAGATTCGCAGCTTGAAATTTACACATGGACGATGAAGAGTAGATAGCACTTTGTAGCAGCAGTAATTGTGTAATTCGTGTCCTCCTTAAATAAAGAAGCGGCCCTTGCTAAGGCGGCACTGCTTTCTTCTGAGGGAGGAATGTTCATGAAAATGCGACCTAAAAAATGCTATATGGAATGATCCGCTAAAACATCTTGAACCTCTACTTTTTGACATCAACGAGACACTTATGTCCTTGTGTATTTTACATTGGCAGGAATAGGGATGCAACCATCTTTAGTTACTATTATCTAAACATGGAGTCTAGTCACAACCTTAAGGAGTATTTCTATTCCGAATTACGCAACCCGTTGAGAAGTACAGTACAAAATCGTTTCTTGAACGTCTCACATATCGAACAAATCGGTTTTCGAACAGAAAATTCGAGATGAAAATGTCTCGGTTATCGAACAAAATTTCGGTTCTCGAACAACATTGCCGAACCGAGCCGAACCGAGCCGAACTGAACCGAGTTAAGCCAAACGGAATCATGTCTTAGTCGACCGCCGTGTTGTATACATTCGTGTGTTGTGATGTGCTTTTGGGGCGATTTCAAGGTATGTGTAAGTTACGATATGTCCGCAGTGTAATGGCTAATGTGGTATTGGCAAGGCCAATTCAAATGGACATCTGTTGTTGATAGATAGATAGATAGATAGATAGATAGATAGATAGATGTATGTATGTCATAAAATGGGTTGGTATGTAGTAAAATGAACATCGATTAGTATCTTCCCTGGATGATCTGTAACCGCGCCCTGCTTCCAACTTCTTAAAACTAAATTTAATGTATACTTTCCCTTCTTTTTATATATTGTGATTGATTGATTGATTTCTTTTTTACGGTTTATCAACCCTATATTAGTTATCTAGAACTGAAAAATATTTTTTATTGAAAAAATATTTCTTTATTTGCGCTTAACAACACTTTGTGTGTTATTTTAATGTCGAAACATATCTTAGATTGCCTGAATAATCTTTTATGTGTCAGTGAATATTGCGATTTTTAAGAATAACATTAATTTATCAGATACAGGTCCTAATATTTAACCCATAGCTAGAGAGAGGAGAAGAATTCACATCTTTATCAAGTAAATGAATGTAACGAACCCGATTGGAATTCGAACTTTTTCAATCCGAGCCGATATCCATTACAACACTTGCACATTCGTTTTATGTATGCTAAATAACGCATAATATACATAAAAGCTTGAGAAAATAGATGTTGGAACAAGGTTTGGAAAAAACGAAAGAACAGAATTTATTTAGAGCTGCAAGGGACAGGAAATTGTGGAGAACCATGATCGTCTTAAGAGCAGTTAACGATTACAGTTAACTCTGCTTGTCGACTCTCTGCCTTCAGGCGGAGAGGAACCAGACGAGGCTCTGCCAAAGAGTAGAGATTCGTCTGGGGATGTAGACAGCTACCCCCACCCCATTTATACGGGGTCTACGAACAATTTTTGCTAAAGCCTACGGACTCGGAACGCCCCAATTAAAAGAAACCGGCCTTGTGCCATATCCGGCCTTATAGGGGAGCACTTGGTTAAATGTCAAGTTATGATCGCCTACATCTTGTTAGAACATGGCGCAGAGAGGGGAATGCAGAAATATTTCGTCTACCTCGACGTTAATAATGTCTAAGTCTGAAAATTCGCCCATTTAAATTCTACGAATCCTCTTCGAATCAAAGAAATGTACTTGAGGTGAAAGTCTCGTTCTAATGTAGCTGCTTATGTCTGCGAATAACGTTTTCTTTTGACACGATTCATGGATTACGTTTTTTTTTTTTTTAAGCATTGCAATACACAAAAATAAAATCCAACAGAACCACGGAAATGACAGCAAGACTTCTCGAAGACTACTGAGCGGAACGAAGCAGAAATGAATTACTTCCTATTTAGTGCTAGCAGAGGAAACCATTCTTCTCATGTGTGCTGTCATGCATGCATTTGTTCGTTCAGTCTTTCAGTTTTTTTCGTTTTACTGAAAACTTTTTTTTTATTAGTTTTAGCTGCCAAACCTTCTTTTCATTTCATGGAACATATTTTTTGGCTTCTTTTTTTATTTCCCTTCTTTTTAATTGTTCTTTATATTTTTATTCGTTCTATTGAATTCAATGGATATAGCTCTCCCTTTGATATTTCTCTTTTTATATTATTCCTTTTTTTCCATTCTTTTTTCCTTTAAATTTAAGGATTTCCTTTTCATGTATTAATTTAAAGTAATATTTCTTGACTTTATTCAGAATATTTCTCTTTCGTTCTTGTATAGATGTTAACGGAGTTATCTGCCCTTTGAGTCTATAAATATAAGTGAGAAGGAGGCGGCCATTTGTTTTTTCGGTATAACCCCCCCTTTTCGGCCTTGTGCCACATTTTCTGTATTTTTACAGGAATAAATATTGCTTTTTCAGTATTGCTCAGAAGCATGTCCAGCGGACGCCTTCTGCACTTTACAGTTCTTTCATCCACCAATTCCATTTTTTATGTTGTAAATTAGATTCTTACTTCTTGAAACTGTTTCTTTCCTTGTTTTCTTTCTGTATTTATTTATTTTTCTTTCTTTCTTTCATAACCTAGAACTTTCCTTTTGGTTCTCTAATGTTCTTTCCTTTTCTTTTTAGAATAATTCATCTTATATATTCTTTAATTTTTATTCCTTTTCTTTTTTTTCTTTCCCAAGACATTCTATCTTTTAATTTCCGAGAAGCATACGCCTTTCCTTTTTATCACCTTTTCCTTCTTTTTTTCGTTCTCTCTTTCTTTCACTTGCTACAAGCCAATTCTTGAAAAATCACCTTAGCTCTTCTCTTTCATGCGTTAATTGTTTACTTAGTTACACTAATCACTAATTTTTCTTCATTTCTATTTGTCTTTTAATAATTTCATTTTTTGTTCCTTTCCTCACTTCATTCGTTTTCATTCCTCTCATTCTTCCGTTTCTATTGTCGTTTCTCAATTCTTTTAATTATTCATTCTTCCTCATTTAATTGCGTCGGTCAGTTATATAATCGACACCTTGATATATTTGTCTTTATAACAAGATTTTTCCAACTTCATTCATTCATTCCGTTGCCGTATTCAGCCATTTTTAATATTAATGCTTCCCCACACTTGACTTCATATTCACTTATGTATCCTTTCGATTAATTATTCATTTCTTCGTTTTTTTCTGTCTTCCAACTTTTCTTCCATTCCTTTCTTCTTGCATCTTGCCTTCTGTTGTAACTGATTTAAAAAAAAAAAACACTAGAAAACCGGAATTGATTTAACAAGTTTATTACCTGTTGATACAGGGAAACCTAATATAGAATATAAAACTAGGGAAGAAAATATTTAGCCGTAAATAACTGTTTTCAGCAAAAGCTACTCTTGCTATTCTCCTTGATATACACTCCGTGGCAAATTATTATCGAGATAACTTTTTTCTAATATTTCAAAAACCATCCAATCAATTCACACAAACTTTTCACACAATGTTGGCAACACTGATCTGCGCAATCACTGAAATCTTCGTACTGATCTGCGCAATGTAAACAAACTGGCGCCATATTTGTTATCAATATCGGTGATTTGAGCGTGCCAAATTATTAGAAAGGTTAAGTAAAATTCCCAGAATTGGGCAAACAAAACGTTTATTAATGTTGCACGTGAATGTTTATGATCACAAGAAGCTAATAAATAAGATAATCAAACAAATAATAACAGATACAAACAAAGGCACAGTTTTAAACGAATTAATAGGGAATGTGCTTTCCCTGTTCTGAAATTACTTGAAAGGTTTAGTAAAATTCCCAGAATTGAGCAAACAAAAAGTTTATTAATGTTGCACGTAAATGTTTATGATCAAAAGAAGCTAATAAATAAGATAATCAAACAAATAATAACAGATACAAAGGCACAGTTTTAAACGAATTAATAGGGAATGTGCTTTCCCTGTTCTGAAATTACCTGAAGAAGACGACGATCCATAGAATTTGTTAATTGTAGGATGTCATCTGCTGTAATGCCGCGAGATATGTCAAGAATTGCTTCACACAACTCAGCGTTGCTCCTGAATTGCCATCCGTTGGCGTAGTCTTCGCTTCATGATGCTCCAAAGGTTTTCGATTGGGTTCAAATCCGGAGAATTGGCTGGCCACTTCATTTTTCGAGGTCCATCGAAGCCTAACTGTTTCAAATATTCAGTAGTCTTGTGAGCAGCATGTGAGGGAGCATTATCTTGCATAAAAATGGCCCTTCTGAAGGCAACTCTTTGTCTTTTCATCCACGGTTCAAGATGCTCCTTCATAAACGCTATATATGCATCAGCAGTCATTTTGACGCCATCTGGTACTCTCCATGGGCTCACTAATGTTTTTCCAATAATACCACCCCAGATCATTATGCCTCCACCGCCTTGTTAGCGTGTCAAACGCTGATGGCGATTCTCTGGTTCATTGCCCAGCCTTTCCACCATCTATCTGGTCCATCAAGTGTTGCTCGAGTTTCGTCTGTGAACAAAACTTTAGAGAAGTCAATCTTCATATTGTCCTCGGCTCATTTCAATCGATTTTGAATGTGATTTCTCGTCAACGGAGGCTTCGATACAGGTTTGACTGTTGTTGCTATTTCCCTCAGATACTGACACCAAGTACTATTAGACACAGTAGGATCCCCAATGCGACTGAAAAGCTCTTGACTGGTGAATCCAGGGTTCTTCGTGGCCTCTCGTTTAAGTCGTGACATAAGACGACATGAAATAACCCTCAGCTTGCCTTTATCTGCCCTTTTGCGTACTTGTGTAAGGTTGACGGTGAACTTTTTTAACTGTTTGATGACACATCCCTATCATTTTAGAAATTTATAGGGTAGATTTACTTTTGAGAGTTCTGACGTGATAGTTTTCTTTTCTGCATCACTTAAACTGCTTTTACGCCCTTATACTTTTCTAATAATTTGGCACGCTCAAATCACCGTGCTGATAACAAATATGGCACCAGTTTGTTTACATTGCGCAGATCAGTACGAAAATTTCAGTGATTGCGCAGGTCAGTGATGCCAGCATTGTGTGAAAATGTTTCTGCTAATTAATTGGATGTTTTTTTAAATATTAGAAAAAAAGTTATCTCGATAATAATTTGGCACGCAGTGTAGAAGTGTTCTGGTGTGTTTCGTTTGACGGTCAATCAAAACTTGTAAGGAAAATATTCCCTCTCACATCTCCCCTTTTGAGATCCATGTCTAGGATTTCTGATGGACATCTTTTTATTTGTCCTTTTAGTAAAAATTATTTCTGGTATAGCTACGTCAAATACATACTTCCAATCTTGTATTTTTACTGTCAGAGTACCTTTTCATCAATTAGTTTAGGTGGTGTTTATGTCTCCCACCTCGGACCTTTTAATTATATAAAATACTCTGCTGACACGTTTTTCAATTACACCTTCCCAATGTTCCTTATTCTTTTTTTATAAATTTTAAAGAATATTTTTTCGTCTGAATTAAGATATTTAACAGTATCGACTATCTTTTTGTGTCCATTTTTTTTTCTCCGGCAACAGTCTATAAAATACAGATTTCACTTTTCTGACAAACATCAAATCTGCTGGAGACATAGTTGACCCTGTTTTAGGATTAGGTGTGATACGATATACTTGTAGGAATTGTTGAATTCCTAATTTCCCCCGTGTATATACCAACATGATTCTTTAGAGATCTCTTCATCGTATCAATAAATCTCTCTGCTAATCCATTTGATCTTGAGTGGAAAGGCTGCGATGTGAAATGGCTAAGTGCAAAAAAATTCACAGAACATTTTAAAATCTTATGACGTGAACTGTGCCCCAGTGTCAGATACAATGGAGTTTGGGACACCGGACCTCCCAAAAAGTTCGTGTAAAAAGAATTAATAATAACGTTTGATAACTGTGTCTTACACTTTAGTACTTCTGGCCATTTTGTAAAATTATCAACTACAGCATTGAGTTGTCCGGCAAAATCAACATGTAATCAACACATGTAATCAAACGGTCTATCGGTGGCAGGCTAAAACTTTCTCGGATTTGCCTTAACAACTCGAGAAAACTTTCGACACGATTTCACCAATTTTTCCGTGTCCTTATTCAGATTTGTTCAGCACACATATCTACGCCTGAGGGATTTCATGTGTGAAATTCTTGGCTGTTCCATGTGGAAATAATTTAATACACGTTTCTGCAAGGAAACTGGCATAACAATTTACTTTGCATATACAGTGAAACCCGGATATAAGTGAAACCCGGATATAAGAGACCCGGATATAAGTGAAACCCGGATATAAGAGACCCGGATATAAGTGAAACCCGGATATAAGAGACCCGGATATAAGTGAAACCCGGATATAAGAGACCCGGATATAAGTGAAACCCGGATATAAGATAGATTTTCTCTGGTCCCAAAGTGTTCCCATACTTACCTAAACAAAATAGACCAAACCCGGATATAAGAGAAACCCGGATATAAGATACTTCTTCTCCGGTCCCGACAACTCTCTTATATCCGGGTTACACTATATATATATATATATATATATATATATATATATATATACACAGTAACCTGATATAAGAGACCCGGATATAAGAGAAATCCGGATATAAGAGAGATTTTCTCTGGTCCCAAATTAGAGCCTGTGTTAATGTATATAAAATAGACCAAACCCGGATATAAGAGAAACCCGGATATAAGAGACTTCTTCTCCGGTTCCGACAAATCTCTTATATCCGGGTTACACTGTATATATATATATATATATATACATATATATATATATATACAGTGTAACCCGGATATAAGAGAAACTCGGATATAAGAGAGATTTTCTCTGGTCTCAATGTGTTCCCATACTTACCTAAACAAAATTGACCAAACCCGGATATAAGAGAAACCCGGATATAAGAGAAACCCGGATATAAGAGAAACCCGGATATAAGAGACTTCTTCTCCGGTCCCGACATATGTCTTATATCCGGGCTACACAGTAAAAGTAGCGCATCACGTATGGAAAACAAATTCCTTCTATTAACGTCCACTTTTTTTAATTTGTTAATTTGATTTCCACCTCACTTATTTTTTTTTCTTTTCATTAATAAAAACATTTTCGGCTCTTATTTATATATCAACCAAAGTTGCTTGTAAATCCGGCACTGAATTATATTAAACATTTTTTTTTTTAATTTCGTTTTCCGTCCTTAAAGCCGTTATAGCCGTATCTTCTAATAGTTCGCAATAAAATCTAGGAATTAAGCGCGATAATCTGTCAGGAAGACCAAGCTTATTAGATGGTAAAAAAATTCGATTTTGAAATCATAATTCAACCCAATCACTGCAGTCTATTGGCAGCGTGTCTTGGCAAACATTTCTTTGATCCAAAAATTGTTATTAATGAGCGGTGATCCGTCTGTAATAATAATAATAATAATAATAATAATAAACTTACATGTATATACATATGGATGTTCTCTACGGCATAAATTATTGCCAAACTTCTCTTCTCGATTTGAGAATATTTTCTTTCAGCAATGTTCTAGATGTATGAGCCGCTGCTTTCATTTTTCCATCTTTGTATTTGTGCAAAATTACGGCCCCAATACCATAGTTGCCGTCATCGCTAGCAGCAAGTATCTCCTGATTGGATTAAAAAAAGCGCTAGAAATAAGTCGGATGTCAAAATTTCTTTAATTTTTTCAAATGATTTGTTGGTCCAGTGCCGTCTCCCATACATAGTTCCACTAATTTCTGTTCTCGCCATTCCTCCCAATTGATTCGTCTCCCATCCTTCCTTCCATTAAATTCTTAGTCTATGTTTCATTCTATTCCTTTCTACTCAAATCCTTCCTTCCATTTCATTCCTCACTTATCCTTCCTTCCATTCCTTTCTTCTCCCATCCTTCCTTCCATTCTTTTCTTCTCCTGTCCTCCCTGTTTTCCTTCCTTCCTTCGGCCGTTCTTTCCTTTCCAATCCCGTCTCTAGTTCCATTCCATCCTTCTCCCATCCTTTCTTCCATTCGATTCTTCTCCTGTCCTCCCTGTTTTCCTTCCTTCCTTCGGCCGTTCTTTCCTTTCCAATCCCGTCTCTAGTTCCATTCCATCCTCCTCCCATCCTTCCTTCCATTCGATTCTTCTCCTGTCCTCCCTGTTTTCCTTCCTTCCTTCGGCCGTTATTTCCTTTCCAATCCCGTCTCTAGTTCCATTCCATCCTTCTCCCATCCTTCCTTCCATTCGATTCTTCTCCTGTCCTTCCTGTTTTCCTTCCTTCCTTCAGCCGTTCTTTCCTTTCCAATCACGTCTCTAGTTCCATTCCATCCTTCTCCCATCCTTTCTTCCATTCGATTCTTCTCCTGTCCTCCCTGTTTTCCTTCCTTCCTTCGGCTGTTCTTTCCTTTCCAATCCCGTCTCTAGTTCCATTCCATCCTTCTCCCATCCTTTCTTCCATTCGATTCTTCTCCTGTCCTCCCTGATTTCATTCCTTCCTTCGGCCGTTCTTTCCTTTCCAATCCCGTCTCTAGTTCCATTCCATCCTTCTCCCATCCTTTCTTCCATTCGATTCTTTTCCTGTCCTCCCTGTTTTCCTTCCTTCCTTCGGCCGTTCTTTCCTTTCCAATCCCGTCTCTAGTTCCATTCCATCCTTCTCCCATCCTTCCTTCCATTCGATTCTTCTCCTGTCCTCCCTGTTTTCCTTCCTTCCTTCGGCCGTTATTTCCTTTCCAATCCCGTCTCTAGTTCCATTCCATCCTTCTCCCATCCTTCCCCATCCTTCCTTCCTTTGATTCCTTCCTGTCCTTCCTTCCTTTTTCCAATCACGTTTTCCATCCTTCCCCATCCTTTCTTCCATTCTTTGTTTTCCTTCCTTTTCCACTTTCCTTCCAATCCGTCTCAATTCCATCTTCTCCCATCCGTCTCTTCCAGTTCCATTCCATCCTTCTCCCATCCTTTCTTCCATTCGATTCTTCTCCTGTCCTCCCTGTTTTCCTTCCTTCCTTCGGCCGTTCTTTCCTTTTCCAATCCCGTCTCTAGTTCCATTCCATCCTTCTCCCATCCTTTCTTCCATTCTCCTGTCCTCCCTGTTTTCCTTCCTTCCTTCGTCCTCCAATCCGTCTCTAGTTCCATTCCATCCTTTCCATTTCCTTCCATTCGGCCTCCTGTCCTCCTTTTTCCTTTTCAATCCCTTTCCAATCCTGTTTCTAGTTCCATTCCATCCTTCTCCCATCCTTTTTCCATTCGATTCTTCTCCTGTCCTCCTGTTTTCCTTCCTTCCTTCGGCCGTTCTTTCCTTTCCAATCCCGTCTCTAGTTCCATTCCATCCTTCTCCCATCCTTTCTTCCATTCCTTCTCCTGTCCTCCCTCCTTCCTTCCTTCGGCCGTTCTTTCCTTTCCAATCCGTCTTCTTCCATTCCATCCTTCCCCCATCCTTTCTTCCATTCCTTCTCCTGTCCTCCCTGTTTTCCTTCTTCCTTCAGCCGTTCTTTCCTTTCCAATCCCGTCTCTAGTTCCATTCCATCCTTCTCCCATCCTTTCTTCCATTCGATTCTTCTCCTGTCCTCCCTGTTTTCCTTCCTTCCTTCGGCCGTTCTTTCCTTCCTCCGTCTCTAGTTCCATTCCATCCTTCTCCCATCTTTCTTCCATTCGATTCTTCTCCCTGTCCTCCTTTTTCCTTCCTTCCTTCCCGTTCTTTCCTTTCCAATCCCGTCTCTAGTTCCATTCCATCCTTCTCCCATCCTTTTCCATTCGATTCTTCTCCTGTCCTCCCTGTTTTCCTTCCTTCCTTCGGCCGTTCTTTCCTTTCCAATCCTGTCTCTAGTTCCATTCGATTCATCCTTCTCCCATCCTTCCTTCCATTCGATTCTTTCCTTTCCTCCCTGTTTTTCCATCCTTCTTCCTTCCTTCCATTCGATTTCTTTCCTGTCCTCCTGTTTCTTTTCCTTTCCAATCCCGTCTCTAGTTCCATTCCATCCTTCTCCCATCCTTCCTTCCATTCGATTCTTCTCCTGTCCTCCTGTCCTCCCTTCCTTTTCCTTCCTTCCTTCCTGTTTCTAGTTCCATTCCATCTTTCCCATCCTTTCCAATCCCGTCTCTGTCCTCCCTGTTCCATTCGGCCGTCCATCCTTCCCCCATCCTTTCTTCCATCCTCCCTTCAGCCTTTCGTTCTTCCTGTCCTCCCTGTTTTCCCGTCCTTCCATTCCATCCTTCGGCCGTTCTTTCCTTTTTCCAATCCTGTCTCTAGTTCCATTCCATCCTTCTCCCATCCTTTCTTCCATTCGATTCTTCTCCTGTTTTCCCTGTTTTCCTTCCTTCCTTCGGCCGTTCTTTCCTTTCCAATCCCGTCTCTAGTTCCATTCCATCCTTCTCCCATCCTTTCTTCCATTCGATTCTTCTCCTGTCCTCCCTGTTTCCTTCCTTCCTTCGGCCGTTCTTTCCTTTCCAATCCGTCTCTAGTTCCATTCCATCCTTCTCCATCCTTTCTTCCATTCGATTCTTCTCCTTCCTCCCTTTTTCATTCCTTCCTTCGGCCGTTCTTTCCTTTCCAATCCGTCTCTAGTTCCATTCCATCCTTCTCCCATCCTTTTCTTCCATTCGATTCTTCTCCTGTCCTCCCTGTTTTCCTTCCTTCCTTCGGCCGTTCTTTTCCTTTCCAATCCGTCTCTAGTTCTTCATTCCATCCTTCTCCCATCCTTTCTTCCATTCGATTCTTCTCCTGTCCTCCCTGTTTTCCTTCCTTCCTTCGGCCGTTCTTTCCTTTTCCAATCCGTCTCTAGTTCCATTCCATCCTTCTCCCATCCTTCCTTCCATTCGATTCTTCCATCCTGTCCTCCCTGTTTTCCTTCCTTCCTTCGGCCGTTCTTTCCTTTCCAATCCGTCTCTAGTTCCATTCCATCCTTCTCCATCCTTCTTCCATTCGATTCCTTCCTCTTCCATCCTTCCTTCTTCTCCTTTCCTTTTCCAATCCCGTTTCCTCCTTCCTTCCTTTCTTCTCCTGTCCTCCCTGTTTTCCTTCCTTCCTTCGGCCAATCCGTCTCTAGTTCCATTCCATCCTTCTCCATCCTTTCTTCCATTCGATTCTTCTCCTGTCCTCCCTCCTTCCTTCCCGTTCTTTCCTTTCCAATCCGTCTCTAGTTCATTCCATCCTTCTCCCATCCTTTTCTTCCATTCGATTCTTCTCCTGTCCTCCTGTTTTCCTTCCTTCCTTCGGCCGTTCTTTCCTTTCCAATCCCGTCTCTAGTTCCATTCCATCCTTCTCCCATCCTTCCTTCCATTCGATTCTTCTCCTGTCCTCCCTGTTTTCCTTCCTTCCTTCAGCCGTTCTTTCCTTTCCAATCCCGTCTCTAGTTCCATTCCATCCTTCTCCCATCCTTTCTTCCATTCGATTCTTTCCCTGTCCTCCCTGTTTTCCTTCCTTCCTTCGGCCGTTCTTTCCTTTTTCCAATCCCGTCTCTAGTTCCATTCCATCCTTCTCCCCATCCTTTCTTCCATTCGATTCTTCTCCTGTCCTCCCTGTTTTCCTTCCTTCCTTCGGCTGTTCTTTCCTTTCCAATCCTGTCTCTAGTTCCATTCCATCCTTCTCCCCATCCTTTCTTCCATCCGTCTCGATTCTTCCATCCTGTCCCTCCCTGTTTTCCTCCTTCCTTCGGCCGTTCTTTCCTTTCCAATCCGTCTCTAGTTCCATTCCATCCTTCTCCCATCCTTCCTTCCATTCGATTCTTCTCCCTGTCCTCCCTGTTTTCCTTCCTTCCTTCGGCCGTTCTTTCCTTTCCAATCCTGTCTCTAGTTCCATTCCATCCTTCTCCCATCCTTTCTTCCATTCGATTCTTCTCCTGTCCTCCCTGTTTTCCTTCCTTCCTTCGGCCGTTCTTTCCTTTCCAATCCCGTCTCTAGTTCCATTCCATCCTTCTCCCATCCTTTCTTCCATTCGATTCTTCTCCTGTCCTCCCTGTTTTCCTTCCTTCCTTCGGCCGTTCTTTCCTTTCCAATCCGTCTCTAGTTCCATTCCATCCTTCTCCCATCCTTTCTTCCATTCTTCTTTTCCTGTCCTCCCCTGTTTTCCTTCCTTCCTTCGGGCCATTCTTTCCTTTCCAATCCTGTCTCTAGTTCCATTCCATCCTTCTCCCATCCTTCCTTCCATTCCTTCTCCTGTCCTCCCTTTTTCCTTCCTTCCTTCGGCCGTTCTTTTCCTTTCCAATCCTGTCTCTAGTTCCATTCCATCCTCCCATCTCCCATCCTTTTCCTTCCATTCGATTTCTTTCCTGTCCTCCCTGTTTTCCTTCCTTCCTTCCATTCGGCTTCTCTATCACCTCCCTGTTTCTTTTCCTTCCTTTCCAATCCTGTCTCTAGTTCCATTCCATCCTTCTCCCATCCTTTTCTTCCATTCGATTCTTCTCCTGTCCTCCCTGTTTTCCTTCCTTCCTTCGGCCGTTCTTTTCCTTTCCAATCCCGTCTCTAGTTCCATTCCATCCTTCTCCCATCCTTCCTTCCATTCGATTCTTCTCCCCTGTCCTCCCTTGTTTTCCTTCCTTCCTTTCGGCCGTTCTTTTCCATTTTTCCAATCCATCCTTCTCTAGTTCCATTCCATCCTTCTTTCTTCCATCCTTCCTTCCTTCCATTTTCCTTTCCTTCCTTCCAATTCCTGTCCTCCCTGTTTTCCCATCCTTTCTTCCATTCCTTCTTCTCCTGTCCTCCCTTTTTTCCTTTCCAATCCTGTTCTTCCTTTCCATTCCATCCTTCCCCCATCCTTCCTTCCATTCGATTCTTTTCCTGTCCTCCTGTTTTCCCTCTTCCTTTTCTTTCCTTCCTTCCCGTTCTTTTCCTTCCATCCAATCCTTCGTCTTCTAGTTCCATTCCCTCCTTCTCCCATCCTTTCTTCCATTCCATTCCTTCTTCCATTGTCCTCCCTGTTTTCCTTCCCTTCCTTCGGCCGTTCTTTTTCCAATCCTCTAGTTCCATTCCATCCTTCCCTTCCTTCCATTCGATTCTTCTCCTGTCCTCCCTGTTTTCCTTCCTTCCTTCGTTTTTTTCCTTTCATTCTCAGTTCCATTCCATCCTTCTCCCATCCTTCCTTCCATTCGATTCTTCTCCTGTCCTCCCTGTTTTCCTTCCTTCCTTCGGCCGTTCTTTCCTTTTCCAATCCCGTCTCTAGTTCCATTCCATCCTTCTCCCATCCTTTCTTCCATTCGATTCTTCTCCTGTCCTCCCTGTTTTCCTTCCTTCCTTCGGCCGTTCTTTCCTTTCCAATCCTCTCTAGTTCCATTCCATCCTTCTCCATCCTTTCTTCCATTCGATTCTTCTCCTGTCCTCCCTGTTTTCCTTCCTTCCTTTTCCCTTTCCAATCCTGTCTCTAGTTCCATTCCATCCTCCATCCTTTCTTCCCGTTCTTCCTGTCCTCCTGTTTTCCTTCCTTCCTTCAGCCGTCCTTTCCTTTTAATCCGTCTCTAGTTCCATTCCATCCTTCTCCCATCCTTTCCTTCCATTCTTCTCTTCTTCCTGTCCTCCCCTTCCCATTCCTTTCCTTCCGTTAGTTCCATTCCATCCTTCTCCCATCCTTTTTCCTTTCTCCTGTCCTCCCTGTTTTCCTTCCTTCCTTCAGCCGTTCTTCTCTAGTTCCATTCCATCCTTCTCCTCCCATCCTTCCTTCCATTCGATTCTTCTCCTGTCCTCCCTGTTTTCCTTCCTTCCTTCGGCCGTTCTTTCCTTTCCAATCCCGTCTCTAGTTCCATTCCATCCTTCTCCCATCCTTCCTTCCATTCGATTCTTCTCCTGTCCTCCCTGTTTTCCTTCCTTCCTTCGGCCGTTCTTTCCTTTCCAATCCATTCCATCTCTAGTTCCATTCCATCCTTCTCTCCCATCCTTTCCTTCCATTCGATTCTTTCTCCTGTCCTCCCTGGTTTTCCTTCCTTCCTTCCTTCCTTCATTCGTTCTTTTCCTTTCCAATCCTTTCCTTCCTAGTTCCATTCCATCCTTCTCCCATCCTTTCTTCCATTCGATTCTTCTCCTGTCCTCCCTGTTTTCCTTCCTTCCTTCAGCCGTTCTTTTTCCTTTCCAATCCTGTCCATCTAGTTCCATTCCATCCTTCTCCTCCCATCCTTCCTTCCTTCCATTCGATTCTTTTTCCTGTCCTCCCTTCTCCCATGTTTTCCTTCCTTCCTTCCTTCGGCCGTTCTTTCCTTTCCAATCCTGTCTCTAGTTCCATTCCATCCTTCTCCCATCCTTTCCTTCCATTCGATTCTTCTCCTGTCCTCCCTGTTTTCCTTCCTTCCTTCGGCCGTTCTTTTTTCTTTCCAATCCGTCTCTAGTTCCATTCCATCCTTCTCCCATCCTTTCCTTCCATTCGATTCTTCTCCTGTCCTCCCTGTTTTCCTTCCTTCCTTCGGCCGTTCTTTCCATTTTTCCAATCCTTCCTCCATTCTAGTTCCATTTCATCCTTCTCCCATCCTTCCTTCCATTTTATTCTTCTCCTGTCCTCCCTGTTTTCCTTCCTTCCTTCGGCCGTTCTTTCCTTTCCAATCCAGTCTCTAGTTCCATTCCATCCTTCTCCCATCCTTCCTTCCATTTGATTCTTCGCCCATCCTTCGTTCGATTACGTTCCTTCCTTTCATTCCTTTCTTCTCTCATCATTACTCTCAATTTTCGTCTGCCATCTTTCATCCTATTCCATTCTCGCATCCTTCCTTCCATTCCAGTCTTCGACCATCCCCTCTTTCATTACTTTCCACGCATCCTTCCTTCAATATCATTCTAGTCCAATCCTTCCTTCCATTCCTTACTTCTTCGATCACTCGTTCAATTACTTTCTTCTTCTATTATTCTTGACGTTTATTTCTTTTTCCATCCTTCCTTCCATTCCATTCTTGTTTCATCGTTCCTTCCATTAACTGATTCCCCCTTATGTCCCCACATTCCTTTCTCCTGCCACCCTTCCTTCCCTTCCATTCTTCCCCCATCCTTCCATTCCATTCTTTTCTTCTCCCAACCTTCCTTCTTTGCCTTACTTCTTCCATCTTTTCTTTCATTCCATTTGTCTCCAATCCTCTCTTCCATCCTTCCTTTTACTGTTTTCTCTTTCTTATTTACTTTTTCCGGCCTTCTTTTTTCCTTCTTCTTATTCTTTCTTTTATCCTATACATTGTTTACTATCATTCCATTCTTTACCCCTCCCAGTCATTTAATCGTTCCTTCCTTCCTTCCCTCTTTTCTCCATTCTTTTTTGGTCTTTCCACCATTATCTGCTTCTTATGTTCTCTTTTCTTTCTTTCTTTCTTTCTTTCTTTCTTTCTTTCTTTCTTTCTTTCTCCTTTTTCCATTCCTTCCATTATTTTCTCCTTCTTTCATTCCTTTTTAATTAATTTCCGTTCTTTACTTTTTCTTCCTTTATTCCTTCCTTCCATTTTTATTTCTTTCTTCCTTTCATTCTTTTCATTGTTCCTTTCTTCCTTCATTCTTCCAATTTCTTCATTCAATTCAGTTGTTACTTTTTTTTGTTTCTTCTTCAAATTCTCACTTTATATCCTTTTCTTTCTTTCTTTCATTCATTCTTTTTTTCATTCTTCCAATTCTATTCTTCCGTTCGTTTTTCTTCCTCCCTTCCTTCCTTCCTCCGATTATCTGCTCCCATTTTTTCTTCTTCCATTTCTTCTTCCTTTCTTTTCCCAATTGCCTCCTTCCATTCTTTTTTTCTTCTTTTCTTTTTTCCTTTCTTTCTTCCTTTTTAGAAATACACGTCACATTTTTCTTTCTATTTTAAAAAGTGTTTATAACATCTATCGACCTGTGTCCTGGAGAAATCTTAATAATTAAAATCTGCTCTCCAGCAAAGATCGAACATGTGCCTGACTTCCTTGGAGAAACCAATGCTTAATTCTACGTGCTTTACCATCCGGCTACAGAGAGCCTTACACTTCAATAAGGCTCTATTTTCCCTTTAATAAGCTGGCCAATAGACGTAATACAGACTGTTTAAAATAAAATTAAAAATAGAAATGGTTTCTCAATTGAAATACGAGTATATACTATAATAATGTTTGTATTAATAAGAATTTCGTATGAATAATAAATCTAGTGATTCTTTCCTAAGGACTATTTTCTAACAACAATGCTTTTTTTTTAAAATCAACAAAGATTTCATTTAAGATGAAAGTCTCTACTATACATAGAATAAAACTTAAGAATCGCCAATCGATAAAATAATAGCTGAATCTTATGACCAATTAAGTCACAAAACATGTCTTTTTTCTTTTATTATCTAAGATGTTTTCGACATATTTACATGAAGATTACACCGTGTTTTCAAAACAGTCTGGTTAGGTACCATTCAAAAAAAGAAATGTGTTATGAGACTCGGTTAAAAAGAAACGGGACTAAATCAATGACACTTTCTCTATTTTTTTTTCTCCTAATAAAAAGATATTATATATTCTGACCTTCAGAATAATCTTAACCTGGTTAAATTGATATCTTCCAAGCCTCTAAGCATCTTTCAAAATCATTATTCACGATAGACGTCAGGAAACCGGCCACATACATCTTGCAACCCGCCATCCGCTCTCTGTTGGCTTCTTCAGGAAATTAGCAAAGAAGCTTCTGCTAGGATGTGCTCTTTATTTGATTCAAACATTACATAGTTGAATTCCCATGACTTGAAAAAAGAGCGGGAAATGGATAATAGTACTGGTAATGGACACCCGCCACACACACACACATATATATATATATATATATATATATATATATATATATATATATATATATATATATATATATATATATATATATATATATATATATATATATATATATATATAGAAAAATATAGTCTTAAGATGTGCTATCTTTATGGGATAAAGTGCTCAATATCAGAGATAGAGCGTGTGTAAATATAAAAAGTGAACATAGAAATCAACACTTAAAGGCGACAGTCTCCTTCATGCGAGATGCAATCGTCAGACCACGAGACTTGTGGCCTGACGATTGTATCTAGCATGAAAACAGACTGTCGCCTCTAAGTGTTGTCTTCTGTGTTCACTTGTATATATATATATATATATATATATATATATATGATTTATTCCTCAATTATAATGTAAACATGTTATAACATCACTACAAAAATAGTCATTTTGTTTCAACACTTCTGTTGTCTTATAAAGTATTGTAGGTTCTACATTCAACACCATTACTTGATAAGACACCCAAGTGTTGAAACAAAAATATTTTTAGTTTATGTCATAACTTTTTGGTTTATGTTATAATTTTTTGAATAAATATTTGCTCTACTCTGTATTGAGCACTGTTTTAAGAATAGTATTTTTGTTATCTGAATTTATTTCGTCTACACCAATCCTATACTTGCATATATATATATATATATATATATATATATATATATATATATATATATATATATATATATATATTAATGAATCTTTGTAGTTAGGTTGTATTTGATTAAAATATGATATGGTAGGTTGATATATTTAGGGTTATTTGCGGAATAACCTTCTTTTGATTAATGTAAATATTTCTAATAGCTCGTCTAATTTGTTAATTAACAATGTAATTAGGAAAGTCATTATTAATGAGATTTTGTTTAATCTTGATCTTGGATGATATTAAAAGATGAGATAAGGAATTAAAAGAATGAAAAAACTATGGCGTCTTCCTTAATGAGTTTAATAACAACAGTAATAATTTTATTCGTGAATTTGAGATAATCAAAATAACACACACACACACACACACTCACACACATACATATATATATATATATAGTTTTACGGTATGCTATGTTTACGGATAAATGTACCCGCTATCAAATACTGATCGCATGTAAATATACATATGAAAGTGGACACCGAGGCTAACATCTATGCACTTAATATTCTTACTACTTTTAATGGAAATGTAACTATTGTTACAATATGGTGTCCAATGATTCTCTTCTCGTGAAATGCAATATTTTTGAAATTGAGATTTTCCTTGAGCAGTCACAACTTTGGATATGTGACAACAGAATAAATAAGGTCCTCATGTATAGCCAGCTTCAAGACATTTTTTATGTCTATACGTTGTTTTTATACATACAAATATTTAAGTAAATGCTCTGTTTATAATAAGCAGTATTAACAGCATTTACCGTCTTGAATGTCCGGACTCACCCGCATTTCTCACCCACACAAGACAGACATCCTTTCTGAGTTGTTGAAGCCTCACACTTATACATACACCTATTCTAATATACACATATCATACTCACTAACCCCCTAATGAGCCATACTAATATATACACTTACACACATCATACTCACACACTCCCTAAGAACCAAATAACACACACACACTTAACAGGGACATATCCCCTTTCCAGGAACCAATAAAACTGTCAAAATGAACAAGGGAATTCGGAGCAGCATGAATCCATCCAGCTCTTATCGTAAATACCAACTTAAAAGAGACTGTTTGACCAACACAAGGGCTGACCAAACTTCATGATAAAAAATGAAAAAGAAAAAGAAAACTTCATCTAAAGTTCATTTTCTCCATCAAGTCATTCATTTCTGTAATTCACTGATACTAACAAGCAGGTTTTTGTTTTTATAATAATAACCGCGTTGGCTGAAACTAGCCGAGGAATCTAACTGAAATAATAGAAACGAAAAAATACTAATATAGTGTGTCGGAAGATTTTCATTTTTTAATATTATTTATTGTTCAAAATATATATATATATATATATATATATATATATATATATATAAACATAGTTATATTTTTGTAACTATTTTTCTATTTATAAAGGTAAGATTAGATAAGATTTCAGAAAATCGCTAGTGTTAAACTTGGTCAAAAAAGTTGTTTGTTAATTTCAACGCCTCCAAAAGAGCTCTCTATTAACCTTCTTAAAAATCATTTATTATTTTACCATCCATCACATCATGGTTGATCCTAACCTCCTGGAAACCAACTCATTCCGCCTCCTCGGTCAAACATTTCTCACTAGCATGAAGTAGAACGGTTATATTGAATCAATGGTTTGGTTTGCTACTGCTGAACTTGGTTCAATGTGTCGCGCGGGAAAGTTTTCCTCTTGTACATTTATAAGTCTACCAATCGACAGTGCATTGAATATTTCTGTCAGATCTGGTCTGTTGCTTCATATTTATATCTAGAGATTGTTAACAAAATCCAACAACGTATCTGCACCATTCTCCTAACCTGACATCTTGGCTTTATTCACTTTCTCAGCGCATTTTTTTCTATAATTATTTTCATTATAATGGTTCAGACAAGATTTAATCTTTGGTGCTTTGGCTTCAGAAATTTAACCACAGTACTAGAATGTTAGCCAGATCTCATAATTTCGTTGTTGAATGGGGTCAGTTGTAACCGTAAGTTCTATGCTAATAGTTTCTTCTGTATTTCTCGCCTGTGGAACTCTATGCTGCCTTCCTGTTAGGATCTTTAACACATTTTAATGTCATGCCAATCTTTATCTCTGTTCTTGTATCCACTTTATTCCTTATTTTATTAACGACGGTTCCGGGATAGATAGATAGATAGATAGATAGATAGATAGATAGATAGATAGATAGATACGAACAGACTGAGATAGAAATGAACAGATAGATACATACGAACAGACTGAGATAGATAGATCGATAGATAGATACGAAAAGATTAAGGTAGATAGATAGAAACAGAATGAGATAGCTAGATAGAAACAGAATGAGATAGATACAAACAGAATGAGATAGATAGATACGAAGAGACTGAGATAGATAGATAGATAGATAGATAGATAATGAAACCGACTGAGATAGATAGATAGATAATGAAACCGACTGAGATAGATAGATAGATAGATAGATAGATAGATAGATAGATAGATAGATATGAACATTCTGTGAGACATGAACAGTCATAAATAGATAGATAGATAGATAGATAGATAGATAGATAGATAGAGAGAGAGAGAGAGAGATTAAGAGACTGATACACACATGCACACATAGATAGATAGATAGATAGATAGATAGGTAGATAGATAGATAGATAGATAGATAGATATGAACATTCTGTGAGACATGAACAATCATAAATAGATAGATAGATACAGAAATGAACAGATTAAGATAGATACATAGATGCATATAAATATTTTGAGGTAGATATGAACAGATTGAGATAGATAAATAGATAGATAGATAGATAGATAGGTTAAGGATTATAACTGATTATATATATATATATATATATTTATATATATATATATATATATATATATATATATATATATATATTAACTTGCGACTGAAAATTGATAAATAATTAGATAGAATCAGACAGCCCTCTAGACAAATGCTGATGTCATTTTTGAATATTGGACATTATTTTGATTATAGGCGGATTTTAAATCTCTAATGAGTCTCCAGCCGTATATTACTGGCCTGTTGAGACCATCATAGTAATCCCCAAACAATCACGCCAGAGACAACTTCATATATCGAGAGCAAGAAAAATTAAATATACTTTATTTCAGTAATACACTTTTCTCTTCTTTACTGTCTTCATACTGGACCAGTTATTAATGACTTTTTAGTACGGTTCGCTACCGACGGAATCGTTTCGGGTGTTTTTAACTAGAGAAACAAACTGATCAAAGGAAATAAGAATTGTCCTCTTTGTTCTTGCCACATATAGAATCTGTTCATTATCCCTTGGATTACTGCCAATATTTACTTTTCCTGCAGCTGATTCCGATTTGGTAGACTCTTGAAAAAATGGTTACGGGACCATTATGTTCAATTCTTTGAAACATCTGGCTACTCCCTACTTAAACAAGAATGCTGTGAACCGTGAAATTATTATCATAAACAAACACACACACACACGATATATATATATATATATATATATATATATATATATATATATATATATATATATATATATATACTTTCAATCGCCAGGAGGGTGGACTTAAGAGCAGAAGAAACAGACTTTAAGTTTTATTCGTCATCATCGGTTCGGTAGGCTTTCAGATAGATTGGAAGCACCTTTATCTCTCCAAGACACTCTTACCCACGCACGCACTCACACACATTTTACTGGATACTCGTATTTCAGTAGACGTTCCGTTTATTCATTAAACATTATATTTTTTATTTTCGTGACATTGAGCACTTTACCTATATCATATCTTAGAAATATATTTTTCATATATATATATATATATATATATATATATATATGTGTGTGTGTGTTGCGCGTGTGTGCGTTTGCGTGTGTGTGTGTGTGTGTGTGTGTGTGTGTGTGTGTGTGTGTGTGTGTGTGTGCATCAACGTTGCCCTGAAGAAATGCAACATTCCTAGTGAGCACTGGGAAGAATGTGAACCTGATCTCAATAATTGAAATAAGGCAGCTCGGAGTGGAAGGCGTCAATTTGAAGAGAAGAGGAAGCACGCAAAGCTTAAAAGAGATGTACGTAAAGGCATCCCCGTTGAATTTCCAGAAGACACCCGCAGGCAGGTCGATCTGACGTGTACAGGTTGTAGTAGATTGTGTTTGTCTGTTGATGGCTGTCCTAAGGAGCCATTTGAGAGCGCACCTACGCAGGGTAGCAACTGATTATAAAGCCGTAGACGTCCACCAACTGAAATGTGATATTTGTGGTAAGATATGCGGGTCCATAGGCGGTTTCATTATAATTTACCGCCCGCTGTTGAATGTCTTAATTGCCCTGCTTGTTCCAGAGTATGTAGGTCCCTTGCTAGCCTAAAGGGCCACAGTCGTTCAGCATATCAGTAGATAGTCTCCAAAAAGATATGTAGTAATGGCCGTATTAAGAATAAATAAGCGTTTTTTCCTCACAGTTTGATGTAACTCATGGTTTTTGTTTTTTATAGTAAAGTTTACTCTGTACAAGATCCAAGGGCCTCTTGATTTAGAAAGTTTGGAAGAAAAAGGGAGAGTTTAAGGGGATATGTAGGGAAGATGTTTTAACCCTAGACATTAACAGCTAAAGAATGTAGTAATCGCTGAAGCATCCCCATGGGAGTCGGTTTCACAAAGTATCGTAAGAAGAAGCTGTCACATCTCACGAATGAACTACAAAGGGAATGGGAGTTGTTCCCTACAATGTACGTAGTATGTCGTGAAATTTATAACAGCTTGAATTAAGGTACACAGCTGGTCTGAGCACTTTCCATGGAAATAGCACTAGAGTAGCGAGTGGCTCGCAACGTTTCGTCTGTGGGAAATGGTTTGTAGGGTGCCCACTCCAAGCCCACAAGGACGAGGCGATTGACAAGTGAAGACTAGGAACCTCCTGTGGTATGCAGCAGTAATATATTTTCAGGCAGAACTGGGGTTTGTAATATAACAATCGTCGGGTACCGAAAA